CCTGAGAGGCATCACCTCAAATTACTATCATGCATTCACTTCCTGGATCAAGTGCATTCATCAGATTAGCCCTAGCAGAGATTGGTGCTTTGGGGGAAAAAGAGAGTGAGCAGTTTTGATGGCTACAAAGAAGGAGGCAGGTATAGATGGAGCAGGGCAAAGACAGGGCCCTTCCTTCCTGATCGGTTCCAGGAGGCCAAAGGACAGACAAAAGGTGGTGGGAAGGGCAGGTCAGGAAAAGGAGAAAACTAACATTGAATGATCAACCACTGTGGACTGTGGACTGTGCTACATTATCTCATTTAATCTCCCAACTATAATGTCTTAGTTCATTCCTGTTGCTATAACAGAATACCTGAGAGTGGGTAATTTATAAACAATAGAAATACATTTCTTATACTCCTGGAGGCTGGGAAGTCCAAGATCAAGGTGCTGGTAGTTTCTGAATCTGGGGAAGGACTATTCTCTGCTTCCAAGGTGACACCTTGAAAGCTGTTTCCTTTGAAGGGACAAACACTATGTCCTCACATGGTAGAAGGGATGGAAGGGCAAAAAAGGCACAAGAGCTCTCCCTTCAATCTCTAAGAACACTAATCCTTGGCTCAGTGTCCATAGCTCAGTGAGTAGGGCGCCAGCCATATACACCAAGACTGGCGGGTTTGAGCCCGACCCGGGCCTGCTAAAAACAATGATGACAACTAAAACCAAAAAATAGCCGGGTATTGTGGTGGGCACCTGTAGTCCTAGCTACTTGGGAGGCTGAGGCAAGAGAATCACTTAAGCCCAAGAGTTTGAGGTTGCTGTGAGCTGTGAGGCCATGGCACTCTACTGAGGGTGACATAATGAGATTCTGTCTCAAAAAAAAAAAAAAGAACACTAATCCATTCATGACTTAATCCCCAAAAGCCCTACCTCTTAATACCATCACTTTGGGCTTTTAATTACAACTTATGGATTTTAGAAGGACATATACATTCAAATCATAGCACACAATAAGTTAAGTCCTATTGTTAGTTTCATTTATTAACAGTAGATGAAGAAACCAAGCCTCAGAGAAGGTAAGTAAGTTTCCCAAGGTCACACAGCTAATGAATGGGATTGAGGGGCAGGATTTGAATCCAGTTATGTGAAACTCATGAAGTTGAGTTCTTTTAATACACTACACTGCTCATTTAAACAAACCTATAGGACAGAGAGGTCAATAAGTCAATTGAACAGCAGTGGCTGGTGATAATGACACAGGACACTAAGCAGAACTGAATAGCTTGTGCATAGCACTAATGAAGGAGACGTTACAGACTGCCATCACGTAAGTCAGCTATCTCATTTCTGTCACCAACAATACAATGAGTCTTACCATTGGCCCCAGGACTGTCCTTTATCTTGACTGAAAACTGAGTCTTGCCCCTGACTACGAGTCTGAGCCCCGAGTCCACTTCAAGCAACTTCACAGCCGCTTGATGCCTCAGGGCAGGAGAGCGTGGAGGCTTTCATGCATCACCTCCTCACCACCAGAGAAATATCTTAAAACATTTATTCTGCTGATATTAATTCAATAGTATCTTTCTGAACAAAATACAGTACAGAGTTTTTCCAACAGTTATTTATTTGACAAGTAGTTATGGAATATATCATTCCTATGACCTTAAAGTCTAACAGGTGGATTCAGATATGAAAATGGGTCATTTCCATATGATATTGAGATATATGGAAGCCTACAAAGGGTTCAGAGTGAGCAGCCAGAGTTGTATTCCTTGCCTTATGAGACTTGATTCCAGAATGAATACAGTTGTGGACTTCTCTGCAGAATGACAGCAGGCCCATAGAGCACAGCGTGCAAATGCAAAGGTGTTTTCAATGCACCATGAGAGTAACTATCAATGAAAGGTATAGCCAGGCTGGGTGCCCATAGCTCAGTGGTTAGAGTGTCAGCCCCATGCACCAGGGGTAGTGGGTTCAAACTCAGGCCTAGCCTGCTTAACAAAAAGGTATAGCCATGGCTATTACGGAGAGGGCAAAGTCACCACGGGAGAGAGTGGGCTGAGAAAGAAGGAAGATGAAATCTTAGATCTGGGACTAGGAAAATGGATTCAATTTGGTTAAGTGGAGAGATGGACTAGATTTTTTAAAGTGTTCTGTATTTTAAATCTTGCCTTAAATGCATGCTTTCAATTTATTGCTGCTTGGCTTAAATCTGTATTAGTTTGCTTTTGTCTTTTTTCCCCTACTTTGTGCATTTTGAAGGCCTGGTGAGGTGGGAAAAAAGGTTATAGAAAAAGGAAGAATGTGGGCAGTGCCTGTGGCTCAGTGGGGAGGGCGCCAGCCCCATATGCTGAGGGTGGTGGGTTCAAACCCGACCCCGGCCAAATTGCAACAACAAAAAAAGCCAGGCATTGTGGCAGGCACCTGTAGTCCCAGCTACTTGGGAGGCTGAGGTAAGAAAATTGCCTAAGCCCAGGAGTTGGAGGTTGCTGTGAGCAGTGTGATGCCATGGCACTCTACCAAGGGTGATAAAGTGAGACTCTGTCTCTACAAAAAAAAAAAAAGAAAGAAAGGAAAAGGAAGAATGAGGGGGTGCTCTAGCCAATAGAACTTTCTGTAATGACTGAAAGGTTCTATTCTGTTCTTCCCAATACAGTAGCCACTAGCCACACATGGCTACTGGGCAATCAAAATGTGGCCAGTGTGACTGAAGAACTGAATTTTAAACTTCATTTGAAATGTAGTTAAAAAGTACTAAGAGCTATAACCACTTGGCCAGAGCTCATACACAGCCTAAGAAAGGTGCAATTAAATATGAAGGCTTCTGTTAACCTAGTTAACAGAAAGGAACTAGGGGGACACTTATATGGGGAACACTTACATGGGTGTGCATGGGCTTGCCCAATCAGGGTTGGAGCACCAAGTTTCCTAAAAATGGCCTTGCAAGAACTTATCCTCAATTTGCACAGTTCCTTTCATTTAACCCCATGATACCCTCAAAGAGGGCAGAGCAGAGATTATCATCTCCATGAGATCCACTAAATTTAGTTGATAATGGCAAGGTAGGTGATAGTGGAATCTAGAGGCCAAGTGATTCTCTTTTTGGGTGAAACACTCTTTCTAGAGAAACAGCCAAAGGAAACTCATCTCATGTTACCCTTGCCTGCCACTCAGTCTTGTGCATGAAGAGAGGCGCTTTGCTTCATATGCCTTTTCCTGCTTGGCTGTGGCTAATGTGGCTATGAACTATTAATGAGAACCCTATATTATTTCCTTCCTGCTACCTCAATCTGGGCAGTAGGGATGCTTTTGAATTTTTTTTTCATGTATTCAAAATTCTGTATTGAGCTCCAGTAATGTCCTAGGCACTGTTCTAGGTCTGAGGACACAGCCTTGAACAAAGCAAAGATCCCTGTCTTGTGGAGGTGACAATGCTGGTGGAGAGCAACTAATACACGTATTGCATATATATTGCATTTTTATAAGAGTTCAAGCTATTTCAAATATTCCATGGTCTCTCACTGTTCAATGTATCTTTTGTGTAGTTTTGGACTTGCACTTCAAGCAAACTGTCTGGTTTGCTGAAAGGTTAGAAACACCTTTCGATTTAGTCTTTTAACATGTGTTGAGTGCCACCTATATGCAGAGCATGATATTGGGGACTGTGGAGAGAACCAGAATGAGAAGACAGGGTCCATTGTTTTAGGGGATTCCCAGTTAGATGCAGGAGGTGGTTCCATTCCTTGCCAGCTCCTAGGACGGAGCTAACAGTCAAGTTTGGAAAGGCAAACAACTCCAGAACCTGCTTGCAAATGGGAATCCCAAGTACATGCAAAATGCATCTAGCCTAGACAGTGTAAAGTTAGGTAAACCAATGCTAGGGAACTAGAAGAGGAACAGACACCATAGGAGCTGCGGCATGTCACAACAGGAGGAGGGGGTTAGGGGCCCCTCCTCAACTACTGTTATCCTGGATGAGATGGGATTTGAGATGCTGCTGCAAGAGTCAACAGCTCTTGGAAGGGTGAGGGGGAGTGGGGGCATTCCTGGTAGATGGTGCCTCCTGGGGGATGGTAGGAGAAACGAGGGTGCTGGGCTATTATTAATCAAGCTGTGGGCACAAGTTGAGTCACCCCCAACTCACACCCAGCTGAAGATGCAGAGGAGAGAAGAGGGCCGGTGTACGAGGGTCTTGACCAAATCCTTGCGCCTGGGAAGTGGCAAGGGGAATACCAGGGTCAGGGTCAGAGGTGGAGGGAGTGAAAGGGGACATCCTGGACTGGGTCCTTTCCTGAGCGCCCAGGTTTCCTGATAGCTGTTAAGGAAGTGAGGTGAGAAAGGGTTAAGTGTGCCCCTCCACCGCCCCAAAAGCTTCCTGTGTTTGAAATCCTCCAGGTCTCAGCAAACCCTCTGGCCCCTGGCCAGGCGGGCATTGTCCGAGGAGCAGTTGTGGGTTGTCCAAGAGGCCGCGAGCCTTTGTTGTGGGGCCACCTCGGGGTTCCCTCTCGCGCCCTGGCCGGGGTTGCAGAGTGCGTGCTGGGAGGTGGGCGGTGCGGGAGGCTCTCTCCCTCTCCCTCTTCCTGCCCCCCCTCCAGCCCTCCCGATGACCACATGACCAAGTGGGCTCGCGGCCAAACCACAAGCTACAAAATGCAGCCCCTGGGGTGAGCGGGGAGCATTCCCACTGGCAGCTGGGGCCACGGGCAGTTGGAGCCGCGGCCGAGTAGCCAGCCTCTGGGAAAGAGCTCGCCGCTGCCAACCCCGGAGCCTCCGAGGCTAGCTTCGCTGCACTGCCCCGCGGCAGGAGAGCGAGGCTGCAGGAGAGCGGAGGCGGCTAGCGGGCGCGGCGGCCGGCAGCCTGCGGCAAGGCTCGGGCGCTCTCAGTCACGCGGTCTGGGAGCCACGCGAGCTCTGCGCCCTCACGCGCCGGCTGCGCTCGCGCCTTTCTTTGCCTCCGGGCGCCCGGCCTCTCCGCCCTCTCGCCGGCTGTCTGGGGCCGCGGCGGCCTGAGGAGCAGCATGAATCTGCGGCTCTGCATGCGGGCGCTACTGCTGCTCTGGCTCTCCTTGACCGCGGTGTGTGGAGGTGAGTGCGCGCTCTCCCTCCCGCTCGCCCGCGCTCCCTGGCGGCTTTCCCTGCTGAAACCGGCGCACTCCCAGCACTCCGCCCCACTCACGCTCCGCCCGCCTCCCGAGGAGCCCGGCGGGAGCGGTGCAGCAGCAGCCACGCGCCGTCGCGCCATGCATCCGATTGACAGGGCGCCCTGGGCCAGAGGGCGGCTAGTCGCGGGGACCATTTCCTCTGGGGTGCTCAGCACCGCCTCGGGCATCACTTTCTCGGCCTTGCCCCTTCCGACTGCCTCCCGCGCAGTCTGTGGCGCTCCGGGACACGGCCTGTATCCTGCATCTTGTACTCCGTATCCCACGTGGTAGGGGTGTGTGGAGGGGGACGAGCCCGCTCCACTCGTGGGTCGATCGAGGAACTGATCAGAGCAGGGTGGGCTGGGCTCCCGCGTTTAAGGTCTTCTGGCCCCTGGAGTTTAGGAACTGCCGGCTGGTACGGAGCGGAGCGCAGGCCACTCAGGATGATGTGCCAACATGCAGACGTGACACTTGTTGCATAGGCAGGAGTGCGCAGCGGAGACAGAAGCAGCAGCGTGCAACCCAGCTAGCTATTGCTCCTTTCAGCTTGGGTGTGAGCAGAGCAGAGGCAGCCTTCCCTGGCAGGGCTGGCTGGGCCCGACTGGGCTGGGCTGGTCTTCTCCTCCCCTTACCCCAAGGTCCTGGCTTGGTCTCCTTCCCTGCACAGGAGGCCCTCCCTATTGCCTCCATCCCTTCTCAGGGACCTGGTTCATCCTCTGTCCTGGTTCCAGCTTCCCCTCTGTCCCAGGCAGCTTCACTTTAGTCCCCCTGTCCTCAGTCACCAAAGGAAGAAACAGCACCTGACTTGAGCTCTCCATGCAGTTCGGGGAAGGGGAATCTTTTTACCCCACTTGCACCACACTTACCACCTGGCTGTACTTGGCACCACTGCTCCCTTGCCTGTCCCAAGCCTGGTGCTCACCCACACCCCAGCAGCCCCCTCCCAGGCTGCCTATCCTCCATGCGTCAGTGTCTCTTGGGACTGCCAGCTCCCACCTCCAGCTGCCACAGTCCTGTGATCTGGCTGTCACTACTGCCTGCCTGGCACCACAGAAGGGGAAGGCTGAGACCAGGTGGATTAATGCCAGTGCCAGGGCTGGAGTCATAGGAAGGTGAGAGCAGAGAGAAGGAGAGGGCATGGCAGCATGTATCCTAGAGGAAGGGCATAGGGCCCTACTTGGTTCCAAACCCTCTAGGACAGGAAGATGGCATGTAGCTCAGGAGCCTCTGAGGGGCCTTCCCAGCTCTGCCTGCCTCTTTGTAGGCCACCTTTTTGCTTTAAAAGGCCTGCACTGGCCTTGGGAGCACACTGCCTGGCTTCTCAGGAAGGCACATTGTTTGGGTCTGGCACCTCCTGCCTCCAGGTAGCTGGCTAGTGGTCTCCCTCTTCAAGACTCCCTAGATGAGTAGGAAGCAGCTCTTCCAGAAACTCCTGTCAGGCAGGCAAGGGAGGGAAGGGAGCAAAAAGATATGAATGAAAGACAACAGTGTAGTTGGCAAGACACAACACTCACATGAGACCGCCGCAGGTAAAATATTCCAAGATGGTGCCTTCGGAAGAAAGAGTGGATGCAGAGAGAATGTCCCAGAGGAAGGTGGGGCTCTGTATCTGTCTCCCAGAAGCTATGGGGAGATCCTGGGCCAATAGACCACCACTCAAACCCTCCTGGGGTCCAGCTTTTGGGGCAGTACTGGTAAAGAAGAGAACCGATTTCAAGGGAAGAGAAGGTGGACAGACTGTTAGAACAAGATATATGCCAGAGCCTGCCACTTTCTGCTTTAATTCACCCTTCTTCACACTTGGTTTGGGTAAATTCATTGCTCTCATATTTTGCTTAAGCCTAGTACTAGAAACTTCTGAGTCTCCTACTGCCTTTTCCATCCCCTGACCTCTCCTGGAGTCAAGACAGGGCACTTCCCTGGAGGTACCACCAGCCAAGGGTCCAGGTACACATGTCCTGCTCCTCTTGCTTTCTGTCCTGGGTTAGAAACGTGGATCCCAGAACCACCTTGTCCTTGGCCAAGACTTTCATGCTGTTCCCAGTCAGAGTCCCCAAAGTTCCAGGCCTAAAAACCAGGCTTCTTCCTCTCCACACTCTGTCCTGACTTGGAATGTACCCCCACCCCCGCCACCACACACATTCCTCCACTGCTTGCTGACCTGGGATACACTTTGCTCTTCTGGGTCTGAGAGCTCCTGGGCCAGGGCCAAGTATCCCTTGGTCTTTGTCTAAGCACCTCTCTTTCTTCCCTCCTCCTCCCTGTCCCTAACCCTAGTAGCACTGCAGTGGCAGTGGTAGTGTGAGGACAGTTTACTGTAGCCTTCTTGCTCAGGGAGAGGGCATCTCCTCTCCATCCCCAATCCTAAGTGCTAAGCACCCATGTAACCTAATCCAGGCCTTCACTAGCGCAAGTGAAGCAGAGGGCCAGGCTGCCAGAGCATGTGTCCGAGGGCAACAGAGCTGGCACTGGGAGATAGCACAGGGCATTGGACAAGCCTACTGGAGTGGGAGGCTGGGCAAAGAGATACGTGCAGGACCACAGAGCATGTGGGAGGGCACTGCCAGCAGGGTCCCTACCAGAGCACACGCATGGGCTTGTGAAGCAATCACAAGACAGGCCAGTCCATGAGTAGAAAAACAGGTGTTTAATTCCTGGTGAGGCTGGCACATTCCTGAAGAGTCACACGTACCTCTTTGTGCATTGGCAGAGTTGGCATTCAGGTAGCATGAAAGTCCAATTCTGTTCTCCCCCTGACTGCAGTTCTGAGTGTGGAGATGCTGTAGTTTCATTGCTGAAGGCACTTTAGTGAGCAATGGCTCCAGTCCCTATAGGTTTGAGATTCTTTGGGGGATTGCTCCAGCTTCCCTTTAGGAAGCAAATGGGTTGGAAGATGATATTGAAGTGCATTGGGGGTGGCCCCCATGTCTAAATGGGAATTCTTTTGTCTAGTCAGGACCTCTGCAGTGATGAGAATCAATAGCCTCTAATTTGTTCCCTTGGACAGGATAAAGCCAGGGTTTCAGGTGTCAGCTTATCTGAGGGTGAGCCAGACTCAGTATTAAAAGTAGGAAACAGGTGGGTGATGGGCTCTGGGTGTGGGAGGAGTCTGCAGATATCTGGCAACACAGAGGACAATGAACCCCACACCCAATGGAAGGGATGCAAGAGGCCAGGGGCTGCTTGGCAATTGCTCTCCAGGGCCTGGCTGAATACTCATTCGGCTCAGGGTGGTTCTTTTCTGCAGGTCTAGGGTCTAGACATCTTCCTGGCCAGAGCTGGAGCCACCATCCCAGCTTCCCATCCTAGCTTTAGGCTTCCTGCCCCTAAGGGCCCTTTCTCCAGCACTCTTTCCCTTATTGCCACAATCACAGTCTCAGGTACTGAGCACATGGAGGTGACACCCTCCCCCTCCTGGCACTGTTCCTCTCTGCTCTATGCCATCTGGGTCCCTGCGGCACAATGGCCTGTGGCATTCAGTTGTTCCCCTTCCCCAGACCCAGTAGTTGAAGGCATGGAAGTGAAATGCCAGGTTTTACTTGGTTCCCTTCACAAGGCCCCTGGCCTGGCCATACCCTCAGCACAGACCTTACTGCCCCCAGGGTATCTCTGTGCTGACTCTTCAGCCTCATTCACACCTACCCTTAATGGGCAGGGTCAGCCTTGAGGGAACCCCAAGACTCACTGTAAAAGCTGAAGCAGCTGAGGTAGGGTGCTTAACGAGGGTCTTTCCCTCCCAGTCCCAGCACCCTCACAGATGGCACCAAGACAGCCTGACTCTATGACAGTCAGCAAAAAAGCAGTCCCCTTGCTCCATCCATACCTACTGCCCCAAAGGGCTAATATAATTGATCTTTTTTTTTTATTTATTTGGTTTTTTTTTAGAGACAGTCTTACTTTGTTGCCCTCGGTAGAGTGCTGTGGCATCACAGCTCACAGCAACCTCCAGCTCTTGGGCTTACGCTATTCTCTTGCCTCAGTCTCCTGAGTAGCTGGAACTACAGGCGCCTGCCACAACGCCCAGCTATTTTTTTGTTGCAGTTTGGCCGGGGCCAGGTTCAAACCCACCACCCTTGGTATATGGGGCCAGTACCCTACTCATTGAGCCACAGGCACTGCCCTAATTGGTCTTTTAATTCTTTTTCTATTCTTTCTTTCTTTTTTTTTTTTTTTTGAGACAGAGTCTCACTTTGTTATCCTCAGTAGAGTGCCATGGCGCCATAACTCATAGCAACCTCAAACTCTTGGGCTCAAGAGATCCTCTTGCCTCAGCCTTCCAAGTAGCTAGGACTATAGGCTCCCACCACAACACCTGTCTATTTTTAGAGACAAGGTCTTGCTCTGGCTCAGGCTGGTCTCAAACCTGTAAGCTCAGGCAATCCACCCACCTTAGCCTCCCAGAGTGGTAGGATTACAGGAGAGAGCTACCGAGCCCAGCCTTGGTCTTTTAATTCTGATAGGTTATGAGTATAGGGGATAAATCAACATACTAACCCACCCTGACCATTATTAGCATGGAAATGCGGCAAGTGAAGCAAATGGCCCTAGTGAACAGCAGTGCCTTCATGGGCCTGGTGATATTTCTTGGAGAAGAATAGGAGGGTGGAGGGTTAGAGAGGATTGATGCCTGTGCCGGGTGTGTGCGTGTCTGGATGTGAGTGGGGAGAACTGCAGGCCCTGAGCCTGGGTAAAGAGGGCCCTAAGGATAAACCCCACCCACTTTTGGCCCAAGAAGAGGCTCAATGCCTGGAAATTATGTGCAAGCGGAGGAGGACTCAGAAGAGTCGGGAACCAGAGCATGGTGATGTTGGGGGGGGGGGAGGCGCTGCCAGGAGTATGACTGGGGGGCAAGCAGCCAACAGGAGGCTATATGGAAACTGTGAGCTAGTGGTGGGGATTCCTGGATGGATGGCAATGGGGCTCAAGGGACAGGGATGTACTAAAGGCCAACTGGATGGTGTGTGTGGGGGAGAGACTGGTATTCATTATAACTGGATACCGTATTTGTGCAGGCCAGCACAAGCACACCATCCAGCCACCTCTTCCCCAGCACCATCTCATCTCCCTGCACTGCCTGCCACCAGTGGCCAGGCTTGTCTCAGGAGTGCCAGCTTGGCCTCTGGCTGGACTGCAGGCTCCATCCCAGCCCACATGCCTTCCCCCTCACTGCACCTGAGAACACCCAGAACCACTTGGATTTTATTGTCAGGGCTCCGTCTGGCATCAGGAGGCTTCTACTCTAATCCAGATATGAACATATGCAGAAAGGAGCACCAGAGTGCAGAATTAAAGCCAGTCAGGTTTGGAATGGGATGAATTTACACCAGACACAGGATGGGGGTTGTGATGTGGGAATGACAAGAGGTAGGGCATTGGTGGGGAGGTGGCAACTACAGCAGCCCAGCTGCCTCCTGGTGCACAGGTGACCATTCTCTCATTTGTCCATTCATTCGTTTATTCATTCATTCATGTGGTACTTCCTGGCTTCTAAATCTGGTCACAGGCTGAGTAGAGCCCAGCATAAGGCACACTGAGTGAGAAACACCCCCACTCCCGCCTAGCAACATCTATGGGGAGAACTCAGGAACCTAACCGGTTAGTCATGCCTAACCACCTATGAGATGCCCAGGGATGAGACATGAGATCTCTAGTACTCAAAAGTAGGTCACTCTTCAAGTTGAAGGATGGAGGAGTACAGTGGCATGATGTTCATCATTTGCTTTAAAATACTGCAGCCAAGAAAAAAAGAACAGATAAGTAAAGCAATGTGACTCCATCTGGATAATTGTTGAATCTGGATTATGGGTATATTGAGGGGCAGTCATTATAATGTCATATGTTGGAAATGTTTGAAATGTACCATTTGCAGGGGTGCTGTGAGGGCTCCTGTTTCCTGCATCCCAGCCAAGCGCAGGCATGATGTCCCAAAGTGCAACCCCTCAGTGAGGTTCCAAAGAAAGAACTCATTTGTGCCTGTTAGAAACATGATTTAACTGTCAAAAATATGTAGAATCAGCTACATCAATAGCAAGATGTAAGTAGTGGGTTCTGTTTGCTTGAGGACAGTGTACAAATTGCAAATTTTTCCTCAAGATGGATAAGAAAAAGAAAAGAAAAGCTATGAGGAGCGCCATTTCATGGTGAGATTCCCCCTCCCAGGGGCCTGTGATCTGCAGCCCCTTCCCTGTTCCCTCCCTGCTTTCCTCACTAACGGGCTTTCTCTTTCCTGCAGGGCCCCTGATGCAGCCTCCTGAGGGAAAGGGGCTGGAGGAATGCAAAGTTCGCCACCTGGTGCAGCCCAGAGTGTCGAGGAATGGACCAGGGTCCTGGCAGGGAGGTCGTAGGAAATTCCGTCGCCAGCGGCCCCGCCTCTCCCATAAGGGCCCCATGCCTTTCTGAAGCAGGTGCTTGAGCCTCTGGTCGGTTGGCAGAGCAAAAGGGAAGGAGGAAGGACAGTCTATATCTATCAAGCAGTCCCAGCATCATACCCACAGCGGGGCTGAGAGCTGGCGGGGAGCTTCTGGAGTGCAGTCTAGCCCTTCATTTTATGAAGGAGGAGACTGAGGCCCAGAGAGGGGCTTGATGCTTGGGAACAATCTCTTGACTTCCCAAGAGTTGAATGCTGCCTCCTCTCCACCCTGCTACCTGGGGTTTAGCAGACTGGTCTGCTTGGAGAATTCTAGGTGTCCTGCCGGGTCCTGTTGATGAGGGAGGGGTACCCAGGGAAAGCCTACATGTGTCCAGTGTGAGTTGTCACCAGAGGGGGGTAAGGAGACAGAGAGCCTTGGAGGGTATGGGGTGGAGGGCAGGAGAGTTGTGGCTGAGGTTGCCCAGAGCCATGGAAGGAGGGCAGAATGAAGGCAGGCCTGATCCCCTGTCTCTACAACTGCAGCAGGGACAGGGTGGCATTAACCCAGGGACTCAGGCTTTAGATTTAGGAATGGGTGTGGGGAGATGAAGACTGTATCCTCTCCTTCCCTGAAGGGTTCCTTCGGCCTAGGACACATCAATGACTTCTCTCTTGTTTTTTTTTTTTTTTTTTTTTTTTGCCTCTTTAGGATTGAAGGGGCCCCAGAGTGCCCACACCCTGCGGTTCTCTGTACTCCATACCTTGGTCTACTTCTCTGGAGCCCTCACATCCATTCAGCTTTTGTCTTACACCTGTCCTAGCTGCTGATGGTCCTGGCTCGTCTCACCCACCAGCTCCCCCAAAATGATGCCCACAGTTCCCCTTCACTGGGATCCATCCAGCCCATCTTCCTGGCTCCTCCCTGGACCAACTTGCAAGACCCAGCCCTGGAAGGCCTGCTTTCTTCTTCTCTGGCCTGCCCTCTAGCCCCTGCCTTTCCCATCTAATGTCCCAACCTCATGTCTGCCTTGGGGACCAGTGGAAATCCTCCCTTCTTCAGTGGGTTCCAGCAGATCCCAGTTTTCTTGTCAGTTGGACCCCTCACCCGACTGCCAGAGAATACAGAGATGTACAAGGAGAGGCGCTCTAGCTAGAAGGGCTGGGTGTTGGGATCCAGGCAGGGTGCCCTGGGAGAATTGAAGCAAGGGGGTGGCACTCTGGAGATGGGGGTTGAAGTGCCACTTAGCTTGGGCTCTTCCTCATCCTGGTGTTTGGCTTGGCTACAGAGGAGATGAAGGAAATGGGCCCATGAAGTACTTTTGTCATTTCTCTCGTCTTACAGTGTCTCCTAACACTCCCTCCTCCCTACGCTGCCCTTCCCAGCTAGGTCAAGGTCCAGAAGGGGAGAGTGCTGGCCTAACAATGACTCTATACCCTACAGGACTAAAAGCCAAGCAGGAAAGTTGTTTTTGCTAAGAATTACAGAATATCAGAGCTGAAAGGACCCTTGGAGATCACTTAGCTAAGCTGCCTTATCCAAATACCTGTAAAAACAGAGCCCTGGTGAGGGAAGTGACCTGCTCAGGATTACTGCAGAGCCAGGATGGGGACCAGGTCTCTGATTCCCACTTTATGATACTGTCTCTCCTCTTGATGATGTCTTTTAAAAGCAAATGAAGTGCCTTTTCCTGAGGTTGGGGATGGGGGCAGCTGGGAAGGGGAGGGAGAGGCAAGCTAGCTATGAACTGCCCTGTGGGGGGATGGAGCTGCTCCCACCTCCCTGCTTCCCCAGCTGGCCAAAAGGTTCCATAACTGGCTGGCTGTGCCCATTCTAGCAGCGTCCCCCAGGCCTGGGGTACTGTAATAGGAGCCGCTCAGGCACTGAGACTGTCATTCAAACCCCAACAGTGGTTTTCAGGAGCCAGAGGTAGCCTTAACTAATTGAGCTCAATAGCCTTCCCTTTGCATTGACTGGACCTTTCTTCCCTTGGCCTTTCCTTGTGGGGGAGGGTGGAGTGTGGAGAAGAGGGAAGGGAAGGAAGGAAGGAAAGATGGGAAGAAGTGCGGGTGGGATAGCAGCCCTTAGGAGGCCCCAGCTTCCATGAGGGGCCTTTACTGGCCCTTCTCTGGGTTAGGGGCTCTCCTACATTTTGCCTGAGAAGATTGCTTTCTTGGAGGTCTCCTAGGAGGGAGAAAAGAGAGTAAAAAGAGTCTGATACCCGTCCCCCTATGTATGTGTAGGGGCAAGGGGAGTCAAGGCCCCCCAAGTCCCACAGAAACCCTAATGTTTGCCTGTCTGCCTCCCCCCAAGTCCTTTCCCTCTGCTGCTGCTAACACTGCTGCTGCTGCTGCTGCTGCTGTTTCAAGGCCCACATTGGGGAGCCGGGCTGGGCACCCACCAGCCTCTCCCAGACCCCTCAGGCTTGGAGTGGGGACTGGTCAGTGTCCAGAAAGTCTTCTGCCATTGATGCCCCTACCAGGGACCAGGCCTTCTTCCCCCTCCTTTCTGTGTCTCCTTTCTCATCAGCCTGCTGTGGCTGTGAACTACAGCCAAACCCAACCCCATGGGGAGGAGAAAATAGGGTGGCTGAGAAAATGGAAGATATGGGGCAAAGGAGGGTCGTGGGGCCAGGGGGGCTGTCTTATTTAAAGTGGTTGTGTATGATTCTTATACTAATTTATACAAATATATTAAGGCCTTTTTCATTAAGAAATTGTTCTTTCCCATAATTATGTCCATTGTGTTTGTAAAGATTGTTCTGTGTAAATATGTCTTTATTAATAAACAATTAAAGCTGTCAAGTTGCCCGTACTCTTGGAGGTCAAGCTCAAGAGTGGTGTTCCTTTTCCCTGAGGTCCACAGTTGTCCCCATGCCCACATATTGCACATGTAGTGAGATAAGTGCCTGCATCCCAAATCGGTTGTAAGTCAACTGGCTTCAAACCGATTTGCCATGAACTCACAAAAGGAATCCCTATGTTTAAGGACCTGTTCATAATAAAATCCAGCCCACTTTTAAGTTTTCTGGCATCTGTTTGGGTGTCCTAATTTTGTTTTGGCAATGTCATTTAAAGGACTTGTGAAAAAGCAATTTATTTAAAAACATGCTGATTAAATGGATTTCTACTAAACATTGTTTTGTATCCTTGGTGGGTGTCTTCTTCTACTTTATCTATTTTTGAATACTTTTGGGACTTTTTAGCCAGTTTGCCTTTCCTAAGAAATGTTATGTTTTCAGCAATAAATACATTTGGTAATGACTTTGTATGTATTATTTTATGTTTTACAAAGTAGAGTTGCTTGATAAATGAGATCACCTGAAAAATAAAACTGAAGGAGTACAATTCTGCCCCATCTGTCTCACTTCATGCTTGTTGTCAAAATGCCAATATCTTGCAGAACAGAACATCGGCTACATGCTAATTTGGCTAATAAACCCATTAGGTGCACATAGGCATACCCAACGCAGAGCAAGACCCAGCAAGGAGACAGAAGTGATCAAAATGGGTGAATTCAACAAATCTTGTGGGAAATTGTATAGGGTTGACATGTATTTAGTGCAGAAATAGACCATTTTAAACAAAGCATTTTCAGACAAACTTGCTAAAAAGTCATAAAACCGTTCCATAGGAGATAAAATAGGAAAAGTCACCCACAAGCATAGAAGACAATCTCATCATTGACAAAATGCTGTCAATGGGACATAGTGATTTAAAAACACAATGGTACATTGGAAACTTAGGCAAACTGGTGCAAAATGCCTTATTTTAAAATTACTAGTTTGACTTTTAGCAAGCTGGTCATCAGAGGAACTGGTTTTAGGCAGAGGTTTTGGGCAAGCTGGCTTTATGCTGATTTGGTCTGTTACCCCCCGGATCACCCCCAAAGTTCTAATTTCAGATAAAACCAAGGAGAAGTGCATGAGAGGGGCAGGACAACTTAATACTGACCCATAAATGAGCAGCCCTTTAACTGTTTACAGGGCTCTCTAAAAACATTAACTCAGTTTATCATTCTATTAATAACAACTGGGTCACACAGACCATTGTCCCCATTTTACATGAGATAACAGGCTTGGAAAAGTGAAGTGATGTGCCTCAAATCTCTTTGCTAGTAAGTGATTCTAGAATCTGGTCTTCAAATTCTAAAGTACAAACTCTACAGTACTACAGAAGGCCCCCTGACTAAAGAAAAGAATTATTAAATAAGTACAAAATGTGTTTGGTTTTGTTCAGTAAGTGCAATGAGAATTTGGAGTACAAGATGGCGGGGTGTGAACTGGTGGGATCAGGGAAGGCTAGTGGAAGCTCAGCAATTAAAACTGGCCCTAGAAGGCCCAACAGATTTTGGCTAAGTGGCAGGAGAAGAGCGGGAGAAGGAAGGGGGAGCAGTCATCAGGGGCCAGGGGGAATGCCATCAAGTGGATACTAGAGGGTAGATTCAAGTGTGACCTCCTTGAGGCATGGCATGAGGTGAAGGAAAGCTGATGGCCTCCATAAAGAAGGCCAGAAGAAGGCAGGCCATATGGATATGGGCTGCCGCTCTTTGGAACTATCTTGACCAAATAAATACAATAGAGTCAGAGTAAGGGGTTGGTTTTCAAAATGCAGAGCTTTAGAAAGAGAGTTCACTTAACTGTTTCTGGACAGGAGGTCCTGGATGATGAGGCTGAAGGGTGGGGGCAGAGAACCTGAAAAACAACACTCTTTCAAACCCATCTGGAAATTAGACCCCCAAATGACAGAAATCAGGGAAGCAAACAGACCGAGACCACACATGGCTTCTCAGGCCCCCAGCCAGGTGTGATGTAAGATAACCCACAGTTGCTTTGAAACCTTGTATTTCAGACTCTTGCTGACTTGATACTCCCAATTGGGACTGGACTTTTCTGCTGCTCAGGGAACCATAAGGCCTAGCCTGGGCAGCCATTCTGAAGTCCTTATATAATTCTATTTTTCAGGTCTAAATGTCATTCAACTGAAATTTCTTAATCCAAAGTTTCTTTCTGACCAGAGTGAGCCTGTGCCAGCTAACTGCCAAAGGAGATGG